TGTTACTTCATCAAAGATCTGTAACTTTGAACCATTTACAGAGTTTCTTAATTCAAATGATATTTAAAGAATTGTAAGTTTGCAAATGTTATTCATTGTTTAACATCTTTAAAGTAACATAAATTTCTTTAAAAGTGCTTACAAAAACTTGAGAAAAAAATGAAAAAACAAATTCAAACAAAATGCCTCAAATGATGAAATGATCTTCTTCACTTGGATGCCCCCGAGTTGTTGAAGTCAATCTGATTCTTGTTACGCATCTTCTGCACGATTCTCTTGAATGTGAAGCAGTTCTTGATAGTGTGCCCTGGGACACTGCTATGATATTCGCAATGAGTATTCTCATCATACCGCCTGGGGTTTGGGGCTTCACCGGGTATGACGACACTACGTGAGTGTTGGTAAAGTTCCTTGTAAGTCATGGGAATATGATAGAAATGTTATCATTTTTTATGAGACATGTGAATAAAAAAGAGAAAAATAATGTGTATGTAAAGAAATGAAAATAACAAAATGCAAAATATGTTTAAATGCATAATGCATGCAATGTTCGAGGCATTGATCCAAAAAATGTGTCTGTTATTATAAATAATCCTTATTGGGGACAAAAATGTTTTATCTTTTAAGAGACAAAAATATCCTGACAGCTTCTGACATGTTGACCAGTCTTCTGCCTTTTTCTGTCACCGGTTGAATAACCTGTCGAACCGTTATGGCTTCTCTGGATGAACCGTGTAAATGTTGAGTTGCTTTTTGTATTGGCTTAAGAAGTCTCGAATAACTGCATCTCTGGCATTTATCTTTTGTTGAACATGTTCCTAACGAATACGTCATTGGAGCCCTCAATTGATAGAAACTATGTGAAGTTCATTTGTCTGTTTCTTGAATTCCTCAGCAATGGTCTCCAATTTCAGTCATCGTTTTGCCATTTATTGTCTTTGAAGGGACTCCCAAGATCATTAACCTTCATCTTGCCCTTGCAACCTCTGTCAGTCAGTTCTTTAAAGATAGACTTTCATTGTGCTTGATGCAGACCCGGTTCATTCTGAGTCATTTATAATGCAGTAGAGTGATATACTCTTTAATTGTGGGCACCACGTCTTCTGGATTGAATATGACACATAATCGCCTTGAAGACTGTCCTCTGCATTTTCATCTCTTGTATTACAACCCCTTTATCCATTAATACAGATTATTCATGTTTAACAAACACGTTTTTGGTGGATCAATACCTTTTTTAAATGATGCGAATGATGAAAATAAAATAAAAGAGAACAAAAAATAAAAAGAGTTAGTGAGGTAAATCAAAACAATAATAAAAATGAAAAATCCTACCCCACATGGTATCTACCCCACATGCTTATGATTCCTACCCGGACATGATCTCTATCCCGCATGCTAATTTCAAACAAATCCTAAACCGCATAATTGTCTAGTTCGCATGCTTTGAACAGAAAGTAAAGCAGAAAATAAAATCAAAGAAGTCTAGGGTTTGGAATGAGGTTTTGGGGTGGGCTCTAATTCCATGTACTCTCCCGATTTAGGTTTTAAAAAAAAGGTACCCGAGTTCTCCTTGTCGGTGCCCCCTTGGGCTTGCAAAACCCTTGGTGCTAAGCCCATTACAAGCTCATGTGGACTAAGTTAAACTCGAGAGGAAACATTCCCTTATGCCCACACGGTGAATAAATTTACACGAAGACATAAGGTATATGAATCCCGAAGGTTACTTTCTAGGCCCGCACGGAGAATAAATTCTCACGAATGCGTCGCTTTCACCCCCACTTAAAAAGGGTTCGGAGCTCAGGTATAGAGCCAGAGATGAAAACTTTTTAGAAATCTGAAATCATTGAAAAAATGTCAGTACAACTATTTATTTGAAAAATAATCATAGATAAATAATTAGAATCTGATAAATAAATTAAAATTTAAAATTGTAATTTTTGCTAAAAAGACAATCGGAAATTAATTTCGGCATGACTCACTTGCCTGTCCCCAGCAGAGTCGCCAAGCTGTCGCGACCGTCTTTCGTTTGGGCCCAGAATTGGGCTTCGACTTGAAATGAGTGGGTTAGAGTCGCCACCGACCATTTTAAAACGAATTTAAGTGGGTCGAACACCATTTTACCTGATCTGCGTTTTACCAGAAACGTGTCGAGTTTGGGAGTCGGTTACGGTCAATGAAGGATTAACACCCTTGAACCGCCCTTTCGGTACCAATTAATTTATCGGTTGTCTTTAATTGTGAAAATTAGGAATCTAAATTAAAATTTAAATATCCGATTTGAATTGCTTACCTTTGATTAGTTGTAATTATTCTAAAAAAGAAAAAAGTCAAAAATGTTATATAAAAATATTAAACAAATAAAAATGTACAAAAAATGAAAAATAAATCAATAAATCAAAAGTGAGAAAAATACACAAAAAAATCAAAGAGAAACAATAAAATAAAAATAAAAGAAATAAAATATTTAAAGGATCCAAATTATAATTAAACCCGATGTAAAATGATGACTGAAATGAAATATTAACAAACATCAAAACCAAAGTCAAACATGAACGAAAATAACATGATATACGAAATAGGGCTTAAATATAAATATTTAAAAAATAACTAGTATTTAAAAAATAAAATCATTTCATTTAATGACTGATAGACAAAATTACCAGGTCAGAGGGACCATTACCGAGATTCTACCAAGCGCTAAAGTACATACCTAGTCCCTCTTAATACGGCGTCGTTCTACGACCGTTATATATACGGTGTTTTAGGCCAAAAATGGCCACTGACCCTCCATTTATGTGTTTTCCCTCATTTCTTTAAAAATAAGAGAAATGACTTTCTCTCGTCTCTCTCTAAGGCACCCTCGCCAGAGAGAGGGAATAGTGGCCAAGCTGCGGCGGCAAATGGCGGCGCCAGCCACCGGCACTAACTCAAATACACCCAAACGGCGCTCTTTCTCACCCTTAACCTGAAAATCAAGTTGGTTTTCCCAAAAATCGACCCTAAACATATAGATCTAGGAAATACCTTTCGGAAAAAAAAATGAGCCACCGGTGACCTTTGGCGTTCCCGACGCTTCACACGGTGGTGAACTCTCTTTTTCTCTTGCTCTGGTTTTGTTTTGTCGAGTTTTGCTAAGGGCTGGTGGGTTTATGATGGTTCGGTGTTGGTTTGTTTAGATGGTTTTTGTTCTCGTTATTTGATGTGGGTTCTTGGCTATGTTGTTATCTGTTGTGTTGTATTTGGTTATTTCCCTCTACTCGACGATTCTGTGTTTTCGATGGTTGGCTTACTGTCGTTGGTTGTGTCGATGGTTGTCTCTGTGCCCTCTGTTTTTTTGTGTTTTGGTACCGATTGTTGGCGTTGTGAGTTCTATTCCTGTGTTCTGTGTTCCTCCTCGCTGTGGTTTGGTGGGTATTTATACCCACCACTGAAACTATCTGCTTCGCCCTCCACGGGCTATTTTTGGGGTCCCGAATGGGACGGAATCGTGGCCGTTGTGGCATGTCACCCCGGGATAGGTCAATCCCGGGGATTTCGGCTGGTCGTTAGCACTGTTTACCGTTCAGCTCCTGGTTATGCGATGTTGTTGAAACTCATATCATTTAGGGTTTCCTAAACCCTAAACTTAACAGGCTAGATCAGGCCAATCTGTGTTTGGACTCTGACCGTGACTTGTTGGACTGGACAGTTGACCCATTTGGACCTGAAACGGGAAAATAAAATAAGTAATAAAAATAATATTAATAATAAATAAACATAAAAGCTATATAATATACATTTTTAAAACTGTTTCTTTTTTTAAAAAAAACTATATACTATATATAAATTTTCAAAAATGTTTTTTTAAAAACTATATAATTTTCAAAATTATTTTTTAAAAAAACTATATAATTTTTAAAAATGTTTTTTTAAAAAATTATATATTATATATAGGTTTTCAAAAATGCTTTAAAAATTATATATTATATATGTTTTTCAAAAATTATATATTATATACTTATTTTCAAAATGTTTAAAAAAGTATATAATATATATATATATATATATATTTCCAAGAAACCGTTTTTAAAATTATATATTATATATATTTTCAAAATATTTTCAAAAACTATATAATATATACATTTTCGAAAACCGTTTTCTGGAAATTATACATTATATCATTCCAAAAGCATTTAAAAATAAATAAAAAATAACTCCGGATGAAAATGAGTGTCTACAAAAAGGTTACTCAAGTTTTGGAAGACATCTATCATCTATATTTTCAAATAGAAAGTAATTTATAACTCAAACTTATCCTACTCAACTAGGAATTATTTTTAATTGATAACAAAATTTTAGTTGATGTTAATTTCAATATGAAGCAATGAGAAACAATTGAAAGGAACGTTGATATGAAAATTGAGCCTTTCTTACCATAGTTTATTTGTTACTTTCCTTTACATTCCTAAATTGCTATTATATTGATAAGGGGAAAAAAGAAAAAGAGAAGACACAATCATGTCGTTATATAAAAAACTTTAATTTTCGGTTTATTAAAAAATAGTATTTATATCAACAACCAGTTAACCTGAGATAAGACAATATATTTTGTAAATAAAATTATGCTTCAAATTCTGACCGTGTAAATAGAGTAAATTGGATTAGAAGATAACACACTTTCTTAATTTATTGATAATACAAATTACAAATATAACTGTTTGAATTCAGAATTTTTAAAGAGAATAAATTTCCTTTCTAACAGGTCACTTAATGATTCTAGTTTATAGATAGGTTGTAATTTATGATTCAATCAAATAAAATATGAATTTTCCATATTCTTAACATCGATGCCTTCTGTATTCAATGTCCTTTTCAGTAAGATGTTGCTAAAATTTCTATTTTAATGTGAAACCCCACCACCATTTTCAAACCTGTCGCCACGCCTTATCCATTAATTTCCCCTTTTGAAGCATTCAATAAATTAACAAAGAAACTGGCGTATATACATACAATTTATTTGTTTTGAGTTGTTCAGAATGAGAAGAACTCCATCATGCACTTCAGATGGTCTGAAGAAAGGAGCCTGGACTCCTGAAGAAGACCAGAAGCTCATTTCTTACGTTCAGAAACATGGCGAGGGTGGCTGGCGTTCCCTGCCCCAGAACGCTGGTAATTCATCACATCTTCTTTATTATTTGGAATCAAGTGGGAAGTGCAAGTGATGATATAATGTTAGTTTTGCAGGTCTTCAAAGATGTGGGAAGAGCTGTAGATTTAGATGGACTAATTATCTAAAACCTGGAATTAAGAGAGGAGACTTCACGCCTGAGGAAGATGAAACCATTATTAAACTTCATGCTCAATTAGGCAACAGGTTAGCTCACTGTACAGCTACAACTTGCTTTTAAATCAATTCATTGTACTCAATCACACGTATGTATTTATATTTGGGTTAACTACATGATTATTCATTTATGTTTGTGTTTTGTCCAGTTTCTTTTATTGATTTCAAAAAACATAATATAGTGTCATTTTAGGTTTTTCCTCAATTAAGATATGATCACTTTCAATTTTATTTAATTAAGATATGATCACCACATGTTAACAACCGTTAATAGTTAATGTTAACAACCATTGATAGTTAACAAATTAGATAATGTGATATTTTGGTATAATTACACATTTAGTCACTATTATTTGTATATTCTCTCAATTTAGTCTTACTTTTAATAAATTAAAATAAATTTAATACTCCAGTCATTGGTGCCATGTGTCATTATTTTGTTGGAGGACTAACTTCAAATACATTAACTTAAAACAAATATATTAAAATTAAAATTAGTCCTCCAACTGAATGGTTGCACATGGCATGACAAATAGTACCAGTCACACGTGACATCATTCGATTGAAATATTAAATTTATTTTAATTTATTAAATGTAAGACTAAACTAAAAGAATGTGTAAATAACAAGGACCAAAAATGTGATTATACTAAAATATTTAACGATAGTTAACTCGAAGTGATCATAAATTAATTATATAAAATCTAAAATAACCATAGATTAAATTAAGAAAAAGGAAAAGTGAATAAAATACAAATATAAGTGATAAATCATATAGTTAAACCTTTATAATTTTATTTTTCATGAAGGTGGGCAACAATAGCCCAGCACTTTCCAAGGAGAACAGATCAGGAAATTAAAAACTATTGGCACGCTCATCTCAAGAAACGCTTACCTAAAACACGTATAGATCCGACTATGACAACAGGCGGCAGCTCATCCAGCAGTACTACCGTCACTGCCGGCGGTACCAAGACGGACACAGAATGTGCTAAACAACAACCATCCGAACCCAAAACGCAACGCTCCGCTACGGCATTGCTACTCAATAAGTTAGCCACTAGGGTAACCCAATGTGTCGGCCCTCCACGTCCATTCAACGGTAACGGTACCTTTTTCCACCTCTTTCCAGGTTGTACGGCACCACAATCATCAGATAATAATAATATCACTGATTCGCTCACAACACCGGAATCTGGAAATGCCAATGATGAAGGTGTTTTAAACGACATTATGGCTTGCGAATTTTCTTCATTGAGTTGCTTTGATGAGCTTAATAATTGGCAAAACAACAACGAAAGCGTTGTACCAGGAGCAATCCAAGTTGCTAATCATACTGATTCTACAACTGTTAACTACCATGAAGGACTTTGGGATGACGATGCAATTGATGATCATATGATCTTTGATACCGTGAGATCTCTGGGATTTTATGACTCTAACCTATTTAGTTCAAGTGATGATAGTCCTTGAAATGTATATTCAGAGTATGAAAGGGGGAAATAATCTTTCTAGCTTTCTGCATATTATGCAATTATTTGCAGAACTTTAATTTGAAAGATTCAATAAATAACAATTTCATTTAGAACAGTATGTTTCTTTTTTGTTTTTGGAGATGCTACTTGCGATGAAAAATTGGTTTTTTACTCATAATCAATGTTACACACCTAAAACTGATTTAAAATTTAAGAAAGTGATTTTCAACTTAACATCAGAAAGTTCAAAATTTTAGTTTTTGCTGTAAAAAGTTATTTTTGGATGAAATTATTTTTATCTTTAATTATTTAATTTTAATTTACAACCTAAGCTGACCCTATTCCAATATGTAATGGGGTATGGGGAGGTAGGGTAGTAGGCTGTCCCCCAACGCTAGATTGAGAGCAACTTTCGTGGAAGACTTCCGGCAATTATACCCACCGTGAGACTCGATCCCACGACCACAAGGTTAAGAGCCTTGTGCTCTACCAACTGAGCTGGACGGGCAATTATGAATTTACACATAGCATCTACAATGAATATCTTATCTTTTCAAAACCACATTTTAACAACAATCTCAAACAATTAAAATTTAAGTTATACTTCTAAAAAAGATTATTAAAAGTACTCTTTTATAGTACTTTTCAAATCAATATTTCAAAAGCAATACTAAAATAGCCTTTAACGTTAAGCAGCTAACTCATGTCATTCAGATTAATAATTGGAATAATATCACACTTGGTAAATGTAATTTAAAAAATATGATTCATGTACTTTAAAAATGTCAAATGTAATACTTGTACTTTGATAAAAACATCGAATATTGTATTTTTAACTTGATAAAATGTTTAATGTAGTTCTTGTACTTTTCAAATGCCTAATGCGGTACCTATATTTTGTAAAAAAAAATGTTCAGGCATCTAAACTATGATTTTTTGTATTATTGTTACACCTGGATTAATATCATTATTAGATGTCATTCATGAACCATTATTTTGTATATTATTATAGTGCATGTGTTAATACTATTAGTAAGTGTCAAGTTATATATATATATATATATATATATATATATATATATATATATATATCAGATTAGATATTTTAAAAGCAGGATGAGTTTAGAGAGAATGTTGCATACGAAAACATAGATTAATGTGACACACTATTACACACTACAAACTAAATTGTGCATGTTAAATAAATATTAAAAAGTTCTAATGACCTACACAATAAATCATTTATTATAATTTAATTTTAATTTTAGTAGAAGTATATTAAATCATTTTTATTAAAAAAACATAATTAATATAATAATTTTTATTTGTTTAGGTTTGAAACATCTAATTTATATAAGTTTGCAATTGCATCCCAGCATCCATCAAAATCAACAGCCAGCGACCGCCATTCATCGCCGGAAAACTAAGTACTTAACGTAAACCAACTAAATCGATGAAGCTACATTTAAACCCAACCCATATTCTTTAGCAACTGAATCCCGTTACCCACTTTCTGAAACAACATTGTATCCATCGTTCTGTCTTACGATCAAGAAAAGTTTACACGGATCCACGGGTCGTCCATCTGCAAGCAATGGAGGAGGAGGCCAAAATTAACCTTGGGCACAAATCTTTTTCAAAAACAACCCAAGAAACTTGTTAAGCCATAACCTAAGTTTATCAGTTTCAGATTTCAAAAACAACCCTTCAGAAAAGGGCTCGAGCTTTTCTAGGGATTTAGCGCAATCTAATGAAGACCTATAGGCAACTCTCACCAACCACCTTGCCATGGATTTTGAATTCAAAACCTAGAACCAAATAGTTCTCCGGTTTCCTCTTGATACAGCTCTCCAGCGGAAGTGTTTGTTGAAGAGTACGGTTTTTCGGCTATGAACAGTAGTCGCCAACGGATGGTATTGATGGTTGCTGGGACGCAATTGCAAACTTATATAAATTAGGTGTTTCAAACCTAGACAAATAAAACTTACTATATTAATTATAGAGTTAATGGCATTACATGTCCTCTAAGTATGACCCTCATTTTAAATTGGTCTCTAAACTTTCAAATGTTCCAATTTCATCCCTAAACCATGACTATCGTTTTGCACCTTAAACTTTTGAACATTTCAATTTCATCCTTAAACTATGACTTTCATTCTAAATTGGTCCCTAAAGGTTTTGAACATTTCAATTTCATCTCAAACTATATACATATACTAATCAAATTATTTATTAATACAATCGTTAGGTCGAGTTACATAATTATATGTTTGAATTTTTTTATGTTAAACCATGGATGAAACTAATTACATATTTATATGAATTTGGGGTTGAAATTGGAATATTTAAAAGTTTGGGATCTAATTTAGAAAGAGGGTCATAGTTTAGGGATGAAATTAGAAATTTTAATTGTTTTAGGACTTATTTAGAATGAGAGTGGATGAAATTGAAATATTTAAAAAATTAAAGATTAATTTAAAATGAAGATTATGGTTTGGAGACATATGATGCAATAAACTCTTAATCATAATTTTTAATAAAAATGATTTAATTATGTTTCGATTAAAATTAAAATTAGATTATAATAAAGATTAATCGTGAATAAATCATTATAACTTTTAATAGTTATTTAATAAAGACAATTTAATTTATGGTATATATTAGTGTATCACATTAATAATGTATTTTAGTTTACGATGTCCATCATAGAATTTTTCTTCACAAAGTATAAGTATAACATTAGACATTTTAAAAGTATGTAAATCATATTAAACGATTTTATATAAATTATCAAAGTATATATTTTGTTGCTTGCTAATAAATTTTGACAATAATGTTAAGATACAATATATTTTAAAAAATATTAATTATTTTAATTATTAAAAAATAGAAAAATAATTATAACTTAAATATAAAATAACAAACTTCAAACATATAAAAAAGCTGCTGGGCCTTGGATTTTAAGAGAAAAAGAATGTTTAAGATATGATATTTTGGATGTGGTGTCAATTTTCAATTATTTTTTGTTTTGAATCAAATGAAGTTCATATTGTAATGAACTCTTCATTTATCGGCGCGCAAGTGGCGTGGATATGCTCTGCTAAAATGGGTATAGGAGTTGTAACAATAAAATGTAGGGTAAAATATATAATTGGTCCTCTGATTATGTGGTGTTATTTTGTTAAGTCTTTCAACTATTAATAATTATAAAATAGTCATATGATTATAGCGTATTGTTTTATTGAGTCTCTGACTATTACAAGTTACAAATTAGTCATTTGAATATTCATATGTTCTAACATGTCATTTTCCGTTAAAAATTTGACGGTCGTTTGAGTTAGACGTTAATCTACTCATTAGGATATGGTAAAATATGATTCTAGAACTGTTTGAATTGTCTTTTATGGACATCATTAAAATATGATTCTATCATATCTCAGTTAGTAGGTTAACGTCTGACTCAGTCGAGTGTCAATTTTAACATAAAAGTACGAGCTTAGAATATATAAATAGTTAGATGGTCATTTTGTAACTTTCAATAATCGTGAGACTCAACAAAACAGTATCCTACAATCGAGAGATCATTTTTAACTTTTAATAGTTGAAGAACTTAACAAAGTAATATCTTATAATCTATGGATGATTTGTATATTTTATCCTAAATTAAAATATAAAGTATTTTATGTAATATTCATACTTAAATTTAAATAAAAATATTGTATTTTATTATTGAAAAATTGATGCATACGAATAAAATTTTGTCTTCTACCACTCCCAACTGGGATATATTTTGACAAGCGGCATCATATTTATACACTAAACCATGTTTCTTTTGTCTTGTCTAAGACCTACTCGGATAAGGTAGGCTTTCTGCATTTACATATATGGCAACATTTTTTTAAAATAATGTATCATGTATGCATTTCTTTTATATTTATTTATTAAAATATTTAGGGTAAACTAATGTAAAAAAATAAGGTAAATTATGTATTTAGTTATCTGATTATTTCTTTAAATCATATATAAATTTACGTTTTTGTTTTATTTTAGTTATCTGCAAGTAAAAACTAAATAAAATTATTGACATGATATTTTTATTTTTTTCAATTATGATATAACATTAACTTATGATGAAACACCATCGTCACTATTTACTTTTTAACAACAGATGAAATAAATACATAATTTATCTTAATATTTAATAATCCTCAATTTTAATTTATATGATTTTTTCAAAATGCATAATATTAATAGTTTATATATTATATTTATGATCATATTTTATAAAAATAAAAATTTATTATTCGTTATATAATCATGAATGTGTTGAAAAAATTAATGTCAAGATGGGGTGAAAAAAAGTTATTTTTTAAATTAAGGTGGTGTGAACAATAGGTGAGAAAAGACGCATAAATCATTAGAATTTTTGAAAAAACGTCGGAAAGACGCCATACTTTTCTTAAACTACATATAGTGTAAAGATAAACCTTAATATCATATCAACTTAGAAGATATTATATTTTTCTGGTGTCTTTCCAAAGACATCAAACGATCTAAGTGTCTTTTTCTATGTATTATCCATATCACTCTAATTGAAAAAATAATTATATTTCATCCCATATCAACCATTAATCTTTTTTCATCTCATTATTTAAGAGAATTTATCATGACGATGGAATCTTTAATTCTAATAAAAATATTAAAGTTTATCATGTGTCATATTAATTTACTATTATTTTTATATAACGATTTCTTAACATTATTTATAAAATTTAATATGTAATAATTAATATACTAAAAATACGAAAACAATCCTTTATTAAATATATTATATAATAACTGATAAGGGTTGGTTCAAGTGGTAAGCTGTTTGATATCGCTTAAGTATGTCTTGAGTTCGAGTCTTTGTATATATAGAAAATTTCCGTTGGGAAACTCACCCACCAAAGTCAGGTTTGCGACGCAGATTGATCTGAATTATTCAAGATAAAACCCTTG